TCACTCCATCCCTCCATCCCTCCATCACTTGAATATATTATTAAAAATTAAATATAGTTCTTTTAAAGGTGATGATAACAACAATGCCCCTTCAAGCGAATTAATTAAACAAAATTGAACCATATATTAGTCCCAAAATGACCTAGTTTATGTCGAGTGGACATTAAACCCATCACTCCATCCCTCCATCCCTCCATCACTTGAAAATATTATTGAAAATTAATTATAGTTCTTTTAAAGGTGATGATAATAATGCCCTTTTAAATTATTGTCCCTTGCAAGGAACAATAAGGTCCTCTCTCTCTCTCTCTCTCTCTCTCTCTAACTACAAAATACAACTAGGACGAGGGGGGGCCTGGCAAGGGACAACGTATAGTTGTTTGGATGGAATGGAAAACTAAGGTCCCATTTACACATTGGAATGCACATAAAAGAACCCTTGACAGTTGGAATTTGAAATAAGAGTAGACCGTAGTGTCGATGTAGTACGGGCAAAATTTGCCTCATAGCACACTGTATGGCGTATACCCGTCTTTATTAACCCAGTCAGAGCAGAACAGTAAGACGTTAAACTCCATTTATTTCATTTCTCTACTAAATATAGGAAGAACAATATTACAGTTTAGTGCTGCTGTCCATTAAAAATTTGCCTCCTAGCACACTGTATGGCGTATACCTGTTTTCATTAGCCCAGTCCGAGCAGAACAGTAGTACGTTAAACCCCATTTCCTTTAATTTCTCTACTAAATATAGGAACAATAATATTAGAGCTTGCTGCATACTACTACGACATACAACATACATTGTACTATTCATGTGGTAAAAACAATACTGACATTTCACATGTCACTTCTAAATTAATTCCCAATCTTGAAACAGAAAAAAAAAGGTGAAAACTGTCAGGCTTGCTGGCACCTTGATCTGTAAAATGTCAGGATATAAACAATTAATGAAATTGGTTCCACTTGTTTTACAAGCGTAATAATTCTACGTTCATCTGTTCTGCGATTACTTTGATAATAAAAACACCGCCAATGTTCGAGGTGTTTAATTAGCCTGCAAATACGATGCAGTTTTAAATTACTACTCTTCAAATGAAAAACTTTTTTTTTTTAATCCTGAACGAAATGAAATAAAGGGAGGGAGATTGAAACCGGCTCTCATCAATCAGCCCATCCATTCCGTGGAGCATACATGTATCTCATAAACTGTTCAAGATATCTTCATGATGAGAGAGAGAGAAAAATCAAATGAAATGAAATGGGGTTTAACGTCCTACTGTTCTGCTCCTAACCTAGGCTAATGAAGACGGGCATACGCCATACAGTGTGCTATGAGGGAAATTTTGCCCGGGCAGCGGCGCTACGGCCTACTCTTGTATCGAATTCCAACTGCGAAGGGATCTTTTACGTGCACGCCAATGTGTACACGGGACCTCTGTTTTTCGTCCCATCCGAACGACTAGACAGCTATCTTTGTCAGGCCCAGAGAGAGAGAGAGAGAGGGGGTAGCATGGGATTTAGATCTGAGAGAGAGAGAGATCGAGAGAAATGGGATTTGACTCCACTCAACACAAACCAGGTCATTTCGGGACTAACACAATTTTATTTCAATAATTCGCTTGTGCGTAGAGGTCTTTAGCAGTGGGAGGAAACCGGAGGACCTGGAGAAAACCCACGAGGTTGGACAAGATATCTTTATGAAACACTGTACACATGTCAACCTAATAATAATAGTATTTGTGTCTTTTGATAATTAAACATTTCTGGTTGGTGTATGTATAAATCCTATTTGACTTAGTTAGTTGTTTGTGTATAAGCCCTATTTGACTTAGTTGTCGGTGTATAAATCCTATTTGACTTAGTTGTTTGTGTATAAATCCCATTTGACTTAGTTGTTGGTGTATAAATCCTATTTGACTTAGTTGTTGGTGTATAAATCCTATTTGACTTAGTTGTTGGTGTATAAATCCTATTTGACTTAGTTGTTGTTGTATAAATCCCACTTGACTTAGTTGTTGGTATATAAATCCCATTTGACTTAGTTGTTGGTGTATAAACCCCATTTGACTTAGTTGTTGGTGTATAAATCCTATTTGACTTAGTTGTTGGTGTATAAATCCTATTTGACTTAGTTGTTGGTGTTTAAAGCTTTCAAGATATTTTTATGAAGCTTTGTTCACGCATCAACCTATTATACCCTTTTACTGATTAGAGATTTCATGGATTAAATAAGTTTTGTGTTTACCATGGAAACAAATTTCCTGTCCCTTCTGAAACGTGTCGAAGGGCAGAGGATGTTGTAAAGTATTCTCTTGTGTGAAATTTATTTATTTCTAATAGAACTGTAATGTTAAGTGCCAGTTTACCACAAAATGGAATATCTGTACCGTACTTCTACCAATTATCTATTCAGTGGTACTTCATGATTAAAAACACAAAACCCATTACAATAACAGCCATAATTCATTCACAGCTAAATTCAATATGGCTGAATACATCTGAGCATTCAGGGGGTAGGTTTTTATTCATGATTATCGTTTGGGTGAGATGTTTATGGCTTTAGAATATCTTCTAATTATTGGATGATAGTAATTATTGTTGTACCTAATAAATAGTGTTTATGCATCCATATTTAAATAACGTAATATCGTTGTCTATATTACTAAGACGAAGACACCTGATGAATTTCATTAATTACTGTTGTTGCCCTTGATCACTTTGAAAGATGGGTTGTCTGGTGGTGAAGAGGTTTAATGCTTGGTTTCGTTTCCTAGAAGCTATAATGTGACCAGGAGTAGGGTCACCTGTCCGACCTCTTGGGTTCTCTCCGGGTTGTCCCGTTTCCTCCCACTGCTAAAAACACCTATGCGTAAGCAAGTTAACGAAGTAAAATTTTCCATGTTCATCCGAAAATTTCAAGAACTATTATGTGTCAGACATTAAACTTGATTTTATTTCTTTTTTTTCTTTTTGTTGTATTGGAAATGGTGAAAATACCTTTAATGGTGTAGGGGTGAGTTGGCCCATTGAAATATCCTTGAAATAATAACTTTGAGCTTTGATGTGGATCGTTGTAAGTGTGGAGCACACACCAAAAATAACAAACATAACATGAAAGCTATTATACTAGAAAACTATGAAGGACTCAAATCATTACACCGAGGTCTGAATATTTATGGACAATGATGACAGTCCATTAATATCTGTTTCATCATGGTACCATCATTATGTCCATATGCCCGTTTAGTAACCTGTACTCCACACAAACTGTGTAATTAATAAATGAAAGCCTGGGTACCACCACACCGTCACTAATTCAATATTGACATAACAAAAAGGTGGCATTTTGTATACTGATTTATCTATTTCTATAGCTTTTATATGAGTGCTTATTAGATTGGAAATAATTGCTGTGCTTGTCCGCGGAGAGTTGGGGAGAATATATTCATAGCATTATCAACTTGATGTTAAAACTGACGAACTTTTGTTCTCACTCGCTCGTCATTCACGAGTAGAATTCCACTAAATTATAGTTCTATTGGAAACAGCCTTCCAGGATACCTTTGTGTATAGACAATCACTGTGTGCTTGGTGTTGTGGGCGGTTCACAACGCTGACTGTTTCTACAAGACGAGAAGCCAACTGGTAACTTTTCGCAGTTCGCTGATGCTAGTCGAGATAAATGAGCAGAAGAAAATCAATTGATAGGCAATGTAAGAGGAAATATTAAGGTATAAGAAATAGATTCACGGCTTTCATTATCGTTGAACGGTGTTGATTTTGTTTAAATCAAGTGATTAACGTGTCTGCTTCACAGGGGAATTACTATGATTGAATTTTTCATTTCTGTTATTTTAGTATTTTTATATCGTTGATAAGACGATGTATCCACAAAATGAACATACTATAATTGGACTGAGTTAAGATTGTTCCTGTCTTCTCAACGAGTTTTCCACGATTTACTTTAGATCTAGCTATTCGATTTAGACGTAACTTGATGAGAATACGTTAAACTATTGGAGATTATGAAAGAGAAATTGTCTGAGGACTTGTGACATGTAGCAAGAATTTTTATTGCTTACATTTCATTTGGGGAAATGGATCAGAATTAATTTGTGATGTATTAAGTAAGTTTCAAGCTGTTTGACATTTCGAGAGAACTTATTTTAATTTGTAGGTGACTTTCTTTTCTCTTCTGAGGTAAAAGATGTCTGGTGTACTTGACAATATGTCAGACACTATTGAACTTTCAAACTTTATGTTGGATTTTTATTAAAGATAGAAAAAAAAGGGAAATCTGTGACTGACAAAATGACAGGCACCCAAAGGATTAAATTGTGCCTGGCAATGTCTTGGACATGTGCCTTATAGTTCCAGGCCTGCTTTAAATATTATGTTAAAATGTTTTGTTATGAATTTGTTTTATTTTTTAAATAAAAGAATGAAAATATTCTGAGATATTTTGTAACGATAGATAATTTAGTTTTATGTTTCATGGTTCACGAATGTTTACTGTACATGTTTAAAATTATAGTAAGTTTGGGGATTATAAAATTTTGTTGGATTAAATTTCGAGGATAAAATATTATGTTAAAATGTTTTGTTATGAGCAGCTCGCTGAGTTGAATTGTTGGGGTTATATAAATTAATTTATTATTTTTCTTCTTCTTCTTCTTCTTCTTCTTCTTCTTCTTCGAGAATATCCTCAGATTTTTTGTAACCATAAAAATTTAGGTTTAACTTAAATCAACCATCGACAAGATGTTTCATGGTTCACAAATGTTTACTATAGTAAATTCGGAGATTATAGAATTGTGTAGGATTAAATTTCTATGAGGAAAAAATTCTGTTGAACTAATATGGTAATTTTTGGTTGAACAAATTTTCCTTACAAAGTTTTTAATACAATTTGTATTGTCATCATTATGAATTAGATTTTTTTTTTTACAGAGTGTCACATGAGTTCATTTTAATGATCTTTCTTTCCTTATTTTTCAGACTGATACAAAAGTGAAGAAGATTCATTTTCCTGGAAATAAAAGCTTGTGACAGGTAAGATGTTTTAGAAATTTTTTGAAATAGTTCCTGTGTTCCTGTGCCTGTCTTTACACTAGGGACTGGGTATCATTCAGATGTGATGAATAAAGGAAAGAAACTGAGCTTAATCTAATACACATGTCCAGTTAATAGATTGCCATGCAGAAAGTGTTAAATACCATCAAGATTCATCAAAAACCGCCCAGTTTCAAATAAAATTGAACAATATGTTAGTCCCGAAATGACCTAGGTGTGACCTAAACATTGGTGGTTTTGTTATGAAATTCTGTTGGTTCATGTGTCAACTACTGTACTTAATAGAATTAAAGATATCAGAGATATAGTAATACGACTTGACGCTACAGATTACAACCAATAAAATTATTCATTCCATCAGCATACGTGGGCCTATAATTAGTGTACATTTTTATTACCGTTGTGAAGTAAGTTGTACTTGATTAAAGGGACTATCCCGATTTTAACAAAGTCACAAAAATAAAAGTCCGAGTACATATGAAATTTAAACGCCAAAATATAGAGGAATTGTGCATTTACCCCGTCTCAAAATTTTAGCTCAAAATACTGAGTTGTTTGTACGAGGACACCAAAACTGTTTTAAGATTTCGGGTCAATTTTTTCGATGGGTGACCTGATAATCGATTCCCGTTCCTTTTGAGGTTTATACAGTGAATGACCCATGTGCTATACTTGATAACGAAAGATAAATTTCACTGACACATAATTTTTAAAAAATAAAAGTCTGGTTTTATCCAGACACCGCATAATACAGCTTGGGACACCGGTCTCCATTTCCAGATGAAGACTGACGGGTTTAAGTTGTTTGAAAACGTATCACATATATTGAGTTAGTTTCTCGGCCCTAAGGTAGAGGATTTTAAGGGATTTTAATACAAAATTAAGCAGTTTTATTCTCCAAAATATTATCAGGATTGGCCCTTTAAGGGTGGTTATATCTGTGTGTTAGACATGGTTAAAATCAGGCTGTTTATGATTATTTTCTGTGATTGATATGATAGGAGTCTATTTATCATTAAATATAATGTTGACATCCATTTTACTGGCCAGTGATAAAACAATTAAACTATCCTGATAAAAGATAAAAGTCAGGATATATTTTAACTTGTATACCGACCACCGTTCAGACGCTTATTTTTAAACCAGTTCAAAATCGTGTTGCATTCACACGTACTACAAGATAAACCCGTTTAACTATTCTGACCTCTTCAGTAAGAGGTTAGAGTTAACTACGCATGGGTAGCTGGGGGGGTTGGATGGCCGAATGGTTAGCATGTGCGTGTTGTATCATAAAGCCTGTCATTGAGTCAACTGGCGTGGTTTTGAATCCCCGGTTGTACATGACAAGGAGTAGGGTCGCCTGTCCAACCTCATGGGTTTTCTCCGAGTCCTCCGGTTTCCTCCCACTGCTAAAGACCCCTACGCGCAAGCGAATTATTGAAATAAAATTAAACCATATGTTAGTCCCGAAATGACCTAGTTTGTGTCGAGTGGACGTTAAACCCCATTTCTCTCTCTCTCTCTCTCGCATGGGTAGCTTCAAATTTTTTATTCCGTTCTTACCACCATGCGCACTGTGCATGTCCAAAGCGAGCTGGAGCCGGGGTTTTAAGCCAATCCGTACAGACGGCCAAGATGAACTAGTTTAAAATAAAAAGCCTTCTCGAAGACATGTCGCGACCTTGAGTTTTTAAACTGGTTTATTTGCGTTCAGATGACAAAGTTAAGCTGGTTAAACAATTCCCAGGGTTTTTAAACCAGTTCAACTTATTGGTTAATTGTTCAGTGTTTTTTTGGAAACAACCTGAATCGAGATAATGAGAGAAGTGGGATTTAAAATTCACGCAATATACAAAACTAGTTTTTTTCAGGTGTAAAAGATTATACATAGAAACCCCACAAAACCCTTGTCACATAATAAATTTTATGATTAAAAGCACATCACTTAACTTAATGACAGACCTTACAGTCTAAATCGGGAGGGTTGGATGGTGTGTTTTATCATAAGTTCTGTCATTTAGTCAACTGGCGTGGTTTTGATTTCCTGTCTAGTATGTGACAAAGCGTAGGGTCGCCTGTCTAACCTCGTGGGTTTTCTCTGGGTCCTCCAGTTTCCTCCCACTGCTAAAGACCCCTATGCGCAAGCGAATTATTGAAATAAAATTGAACCATATGTTAGTCGGGAAATGACCTGGTTTGTATTGAGTGGACGTTCAACCCCACAATCTAAATTGCACATGTTACCCCCCCCCCCCCTATATTTGATAGGCTGGTGTATATAAAGAGAAGGGTGTAGTTAAATTAAATGATGATTTACGTTGACATGTGAAAGATTCAGGTTTAGGGTTAAATGTTTCTTGTAAATGTTGTTGATGTAGAGAGGACGAAGGTGTATGTACAGTAAAACCAGTGGGCTCAACGTTTGACTAAACTTGTCAGTAAATAAGTTCTCAAAACTAACAGTTTTACCTCAAATAGCAGACGCTCAAACTGATTGAATGTCGGGTTAGAAAGTTCACACAAATGTGTCAAGTTTGATGGTGGGAGTAAAATGGCAGGGAAGGTTGCTTAGGCTTCGGTATTTGTGCTTATTTTTTGTCCCATCCGAATGATTAGACAGCTGTGCTTGTCAGGCCCACTGTCCTGCACCACTGGCTGGAAAAACTCTTTTCAGCTAAGTAACAATGCGATCGAAACCCGAACCACCAGGTTAGCGAGCCAGGGTCCTACCCACTGAGTCACCACAGCTCCCAGAAAAAGAATAAAAGACCAGGGGCTATACTATATACCGGAAAACACTGGAAAACAACTGGAAAACTGCCGGAAAACTGCCGGAAAACACCATATGATACTGAATACCCAGAGAAGGGCTATATTAGAAACCAGAAACTAACCCTAACCCTAACCCAGGCACACAGAGGACCAGGCTCCGGGTTACCTATTTAGGGTGCCAGTCTCCGGGTTACCTATTTAGGGTATTTTCTGGTATTTAGTGTGTTTTCCAGTATTTAGTGTTTTTCCGGGTATTTTCCGGTATTCAGTATAAAATGGTGTTTTCCGATAGTTTTATGGTGTTTTCCGGTAGTTTTCCAGTATATAGTATTGCCGAAGACCAGTGTAAGCAAGTTTAACTATGGGATATAAATAAATAAAAGCTAGATGTGGTCTATTTTTATATATAGTTATATTTACAGTGAAATATGTCAGCACATTATTTGATATTAAACACGGTTGTTGATGATATCGTGATAAACAGGTGATAGGTCAACTGTGATGTTATAGGCTTATCAATTTTCTGTTATTAGGTCTTGTCTTAATATAAGAGAAATGGGGTTTAACGTCCACTCGACACAAACTAGGTCATTTCGGGACTAGCATATGGTTTAACTTTATTTCAATAATTCGCATGCGCATAGGGGTCTTTAGCAGTGGGAGGAAATCAGAAGACCCACGAGGTTGGACAGGCGACCCTACTCCTTGTCACGTACAACCCAGGAATCGAAACCACGCCAGTTGACTCAATGACAGAACTTATGATACAGCGCGCAGTTTATTGTCACTTATCTCAAACTCATATCCTTATATATATAGGATCCCCGGTTGTACGCGACAAGGAGTAGGGTCACCTGTTCAACCTCGTGGGTTTTCTCTGGGTCCTCCGGTTTCCACCCACTACTAAAGACCCCTATGCGCATGCGAATTATTGAAATAAAATTGAACCATATGTTAGTCCCGAAATGACTTAGTTTGCGTCAAGTGGATGTTAAACCCCATTTCTTTCTCTCCCTTATGTAGGATGGAAAGATGGGGTTTAACATCCACTCAACCTAACACAAACAACCATTGTACAGTAGGGCTTTTGGGGGCCAAAACATCATACAATTTTATTTCAATAATTTCCTTGTCACTTAATACTAAAGGAAGTCATCCGAGGACACGGAGAAAGCCCACGAGGTTGGGGAGGCGATCATACTCCTTGTCACTAGCTATTTGACTCAATGACAGGAGTTATGATATAAATCAAACTGTCTTTAGATGTTGGTTGATTATAAGAATTTATACATGCATATCTTCTTTAATAGGCATTTAGTAATTAAACATATTAACACAAGGTACAATTTTATCGATACACAGTTACTGCGTTTAATACTAAGTGACGTTTCCACAAGGATATATTTGTCTACTATTCACGTACCTGTATCATTTGCTTGATAAAGACGAGAGTATCTTCATCAAAATGTTGCTTTTAAACTTAGTAATTTTGTATCCATAAAACTGTACTTGGTGTTTATAGATGTCAATATTCAAGAGGTAAATCTGCCAGTTGCAGGTCTTTCTTTAGACCTGAAATGTTTTCTAAATTATTAATTATACATTTATTAACCTGAAAAGACCATAATCAACTCTCTGTGCCATCAGATATCTCCAATATTAAGTAGATTAGAATGGTTCAGCCATATTTTGACTTAATTTAAGAATGGAGAAGTGAGGCTTAGCTCCGACAACCAATGTGATGGTTACAATCAATGCACACATCTTGTCAAAGGCTAATATCTTTGATCGCAATAGAGTAATTTGAATGAAATTTTCAATATATTTATTTTGCATTATCTATTTTTTCGAACGATTATAGCAAGAATGGCTAGCTCTTTATTTAAATCTTACATAATGTATCTTTAAGTGAACTGTGAAGGGGCTAATGGCTTGGCTTGGAATAGAGTAATTTGAATGAAATTTTTAGTATATTCATTTTGCATTATCTATTTTCAAACTATTATAGCAAGAATGGCTTACTCTTTATTTAAATCTTACAGAATGTATCTTTAATTGAATTGGGAAGTGGCTAGTATCTTCGCTTGCAATAGAGTAATTTGAATGAAATTTTCAATATATTCATTTTGCATTATCTATTTTCCAACTATTATTGCAAGAATGGCTAGCTCTTTATCTAAATCTTACATGTGAAGTGTTTTGTTTGT